TGAATGAAGTCAGTGGGCTTGTCATCCTTCCTGTGGATGATCTGGATGAGGTAGTTATAGGTTTTTTTCTCCATAGTTATATAATGTATGTCACCAAAGTGTATAAAAAATGCTATTTATCATGTTCAGGCATGTCTCCAAGCCTTCCATCTACAGAGGCCAATGTTGTTTCTGATTGCTGAGGAGGAGAATGAAGATCTCCACAAATTCTTAAGGTACTATATATAGTGYTCTGAGGGCACAATTATTTTGATATGAGCATGATATATGACTGGTGACATTGTCGAATGGATGGGCTGAAAAAAATGTTCATCCAGTCAAAACTTCCCATTTAGACATCAWTGAAATATATTTTAACAAAGAAAAATTTTTGGAGCCATTTCAAAAAAAACTTGCACAGCATGTTKTTGCAGATATATGTTTTTGTTCTTATCATGCTTGTGGATATAAATTTTATTGGACAGTACATTTAGTAACAAACAACTATCACTACTAGATCACTCAGTAATTCTGCAGAAGAAATGGAAGCAGACTTTCCGCTCATTGCTTTCATTCAGGAAGGTTCCCATGCAAGTGAAGAACGTAAGAAAAAAATTTTTATTGGTTATTCGTATAATAGAGAAAGAAATGGTACTTTCCATAAAAAAAACAATGTTCAATAGCTATATGCACAGTGATTTACAGTCATTGAAATGCTGTTACTGGCAGTCACTATTGTAATATAAGTCGAGATAACTAGCTAAAGCCTAGTGTGAGATGCGTCGGTGTTTCTAATGAAACAGTAATGATAAAAAGTTGAATTATACACCGTGAAAAGATGAAAAAACGTACTTTTTTCGTTTTTTTCATTTATTCATCTTTTCACGGTGTATAATTCAACTTTTTATCCTTACTATAATGTAAAGCAGTGGAATTGTGCAGGAGGAAAAAGTTGGGGTATATAAACCATGGCCATTAATTTATATGAAATTAAACTAGTGTTTCATAACCTATTTATAAAATGAATTCCTTTTCAATCTGGATCCTAATGTAGTTTACAGAAAGTTCTCCATGAAAGTAAAAGGGAAGTTAATCCTTTGCTTCCCTTTGAATGAATATAAAATGGAAATGAAACTGATACAAACTGGTAAGTTTGCATGGTAACTTGATAGATTGTTTAGAAACTTTAATAGGCATATTAATTTTATTACGTTATTATTCTTATTCAACAGCCGCATTATGTTCGTGACAGTGATGAGGAAGAGGTAAGTGCTTTTGTACTTATGCAGTTTCAGGGTTGAGTTTTCTTTACTTTTTTAAACACTTGGTGAGGAGGGCATCATCTTTGAATGCTTGAACCTCAAGGTGTGAGCATAAGTTAAGGGCATGCTTTGGGACTGGAAAATGGCCGCTTAAGTTTGGCACYCTGAGGGACTGGCATGTCTGCAGCATGCCTGGACCAGAGGGTGTCAAGCGGAAAGCCAGGTTTGTACCCGGAGGGACAGGCTTAGACCGGAGGGTGTCAAGCACAACACAGGGTTGGCACCCGGAGGGACAGGCATAGACCGGAGGGTGTCAAGCACAACACAGGGTTGGCACCCGGAGGGACAGGCATGGACCGGAGGGTGTCAAGCACAA